GGGACTCCAGGATCATGACCTGAGCCAAAGGCAGTCGCTTAACCAACTGAGCCACTCAGGAGCCCTAAACTTCTTTATTTTTAAGTTAAAGTTGGTTTCTTGTTGTTGCTATTTTTAATCTATAAAGTCTTTTGTGGTTCCTTAGCCCTCCTCTGGGCTTACCCTTTTTATAGTAGTTAGTACAATGTATTAAAATATCACTTTACTTTTCTGTTTGTTCTACCAGGCCATAATTTCTTGAGAGCAGGAACAATACCTTGTTCATTAATTGTACACCCAGAACCAAGCACAGTGGCTTATATATAATAAGCAATCGAGGAATATGTGAGTGTAATTCATTCTTTGATATGAACAGAATAAACATGGAAAAGACTCATCTTCTATTGATTTCAGTGTTTGCTAAACAGGCTATTGCCACCTTATATATTATCACCAGAAAGCTTAATTAAGGCTTTCTCTGCCAGGTGGCAAAAACATGCAGGTAATTGTGCATGATCTGCACAATTATGCATGATCTGCACAATTAAAGCCCAAGCCAAACCCAAACTAAAAAGACCAAAACAAGGACTTCCCCTTCTAGGTAGATGGAGAAGACATTTTTTTTTCTGTTCTACCCCTGAGAACAACAAAAGTTTCTGGGGAAACATCACTAATCATCAGGGATAATGCAAATCAAAATGACAACAATGTATCACCTCATACCTATTAGAATGGCTATCATCAGAAAGATGGGAAATAGTAAGTGTTGGCAAGGATATGGTGAAACTGGAACTCTTATGCACTGTTGGTGGGATTGTAAATGGGTGTAGTCACTATGGAAAACAGTGTGGAGGTTCCTCAAAAAGTTGAAGGTACTGTACTCCCATAATCTGTACTCCCATAATCCTTGCAGCATTATTCACAATAGTCGGGACATTGAAACAACCTAAGTGTCCATTAATGGATGAATGAATAAAGAAAATGTGAGATACACACACACACACACACACACACGGAATACTAGTCAACCATAAAAAGAAGGAAATCCTGCCATTTGCAACAACTTGGGTGGACCTTGAGGGCATTACCTAAGTGAAATAAGTCAGAGAAAGATACTGTATGATCTTATTTATATGTCGCATCTAAAAAAACCAAAATCCTAGAAACAGAGATTAGAACTGTGGTTGCCAGGGGTGGTGGGGAAAAAGAGGGAGCTGGGGGCTGAGGAAATGGGAAGGTGGCCCAAAGGTGCAAACTTCCTTATAAGATAAATAAGTTCTGGGGATATACTTTACAAGGTGATGACTATCATTAATCATACGGTATTGTGTAATTGAAAGTTGCTAAGAGAATAGATCTTAAAAGTTCTGATCACAAGAAAAAAAATTGTGAACATGTGAGGTGATGGATGTTAACTTATTGTGGTGATCATTTCATAATGTCTACATATGTCAAATCATTACAATTGTATAGCTTAAAATTACACAATGCTATATGTCAGTTATATACCAACAAAACTGGAAAAAAACATAAAAATGTAACAGTATACATTAAAAATAATGTGTAACGAGTCATTAGGGAAATGCAAAACCACAATGCGACATCACTACACACCCATCAGAATAGCCAAAATGAAAAAGTGTTGATGAGGATGTGGAGGAATTAGAATTCTCATACATTGCTGGTGGGAGTGTAAATTGCTACAATCATTATGGACAATGGGCAGTTTTTACTAAAACTAATCATATACCTGTATTAGGACTCTAAATAGATGGAGGGCTGTACCATGTTTGTGGATTAGGAGAATCAACATAATAAAGACGTCAGTTCTCAAACTGATACACTGATTTCATACAATGTCTATCTAAAGTCCAGAAAAACATTTTTGGTAGATATAGACAAAATTATTCTAAAATTAATATGGAAAGGAAAAGAAATTAGAATAGGTAAAACAATTTTGGAAAAGAATAAAGTGGGAGGAATTGGTCTACATGATTTCAAGATTTATATAACTATGGTAACTGAGATTGTGTGGTATTGGTGGAAGGATAGACCCACAGATCATAGACCCACAGAATAGAGAACTCATAAATAGACTCACATAAATATGGCCAACTGATTTTGATGAAGTTTCAGTAGTAATTTAATGAAAGAAATATAGCCTTTCCAACAATGACATTGGATCTTGGATGTTCACAGGCAAAAAAAAAAAAAAGAGTCTTATCCCAAGTTTATACCTTAATATAAAACTTATCTAAAGGCATAGATAAATTAAAATTAAAGAGATAGAAAAAGATATATCCTGTAAACAATAACAAGAAGAACTGTAGGGGATTTACTAATATTAGATAAGGCAGGCTTGAGAACAAGGATTATTATCAGCAGTCAAGGGCCATTATATAATGACAGAAGTATCAATTCACCGAGAAGAAATAATTCTAAACGTGTGTTCAGATCTTGTTTTAGATTGACAAAATAACTGGTTGGCCATTATTATTATTTTTAACAGCTTTGGCATTGTAGGCAGAGCCTAAAAGAATAAGTCTATCAGAAATGAAAAGTCACACTTATTGTATCCTGTGATAGCTTCCAAAATGAACTCTTCATTGTTTTTCAGTCCATGAAACATCCCTTGGAATCATGTTTTCTTCTCCCATCATATAGGGTAGGAATCTTGAGCAAATATGGCAAATGGCTTCTGACAGGCTGGCTCCTGATTCCTGACCCTAAAAGGTATGAATGTTTGAAGCTATAAGTCAGAACTGGAGTGAGCAATCATAAATGACCTCGCACTTATTGCCCTCAGTCCCAGTATACAGCATGCTTTCTGCTGTCTGACTTAATGAAAAAAAAAAAAAAAACAACAATGAAAAACACCTCTAGAAACCAAAGCAATGACCTTAGAAATTCTCTGAACTCCCTGTCTCCACAGCCCCCTCCTTCCTGGCAGCAGTCGGCCTTGATGGGTCAGGTGGTCACCTGACATGGCTCTAGGAAGCATTTCCTATGTTTCCTTCCTTTATAGGATGGAGAGGCATTACCTGATTCTGATTTCCTTCTGTATTTCCTCACAAGGTAAGTGAGAAGTGACAGCCTAGTCTGTTAACTGGCTTTTGACCCATCTGCCAAATGTGTCTTTATTTTATTTCATTTTTTTCCAAATGTGTCTTTAAGTGACAGAATAAAACTTAAGGAGGAAAATCAGTAATCAAAAGATGTTGGTAGGTTGCTGCAATAAAATGAAATTTTAAGACAAAATTATCAGGAATAAACATCAAGTCCAATATTTATGTGTAAGAGATTAGTTTCATTGTAATGGGCATACAGGAGACTGGTGTAAGGAACCCCTGAGGAAATTGGCAGCAAGGTCACTATCTGAGAGTGAAGCTAGTAAAAATCAACTTAAAATGGACCAGGGCAAAGAGCATACATCTATCCACACATACGCACAAAACTACAGACCGACCTTACTCATGACAATCAATGCAACAAGCCCAAAGTATGTGCAAACAGATAGCATGCTAAAAGACTGATACTAAGTGACCAAAGGAATTTATTACATAAATACAAGGCTGTTTCAATATTTGCATATTTATTAATGTATTTCACTTTAATTGATATAAATAGAAAAATCATATGATTATTTTTATGAGTGTTTAAAGGTTTTTGAGAAAATTGAACACCCATTCTCCATTTTAAAAAAAGGGTTTTGACAAAATGAGGATCAACTGATATTCTGTTATGCAAAACCCAGCATTATGCACAACAGAGTGGAAGCATTCCTATTGAAATCAGGAATAAGGAAAGGACACACTATCACTTGTACAATTTTTCACGGTCTGGTGGTATTCAGCACAATTAGAGAAGAGAAAGAAATGAGTAGTTTAAAAGTTGAAATAGAGGACATGAAATTACAGTTATTATAGTTATTAGCGGATAGCATAACTATTTGCCTCAAAAATCGAAGGGAGAGCACATTGAAATGCTGGTATTATCAGGGAATTCTGAACAAAGATAACTGAACAACAATCACATATGGAAACCAAGAGCTTTCACATGTGCAAACAATGATCAATCGGAACAAGAGACGCCAACAGCAAATACAAAATACACAAAATACTTATGAATAAACTTAACAAGAAATGTGCAAGATGTATAGAAAGAAAACTTTCAATACTAGTGAAGATCACAGTAGGATACTGGAGCAAATGAATCATGTATTGAATGAATAGATAGGGAATTTTATCACCATAAAGGTATTGATTCTCCCTAAGGTATGCTAAAATTGTAATATGCTTTCAATAAAATACAAACTGGAGTTTTTTGGAACCAGGCAGGCTAATTCTAAAATTTATACAGAAAAACAAACAATCCAGGAAAGCTAGGAAAATTCCAGAAAGGAGGGGCGCCTGGGTGGTTCAGTTGTTAAGCGTCTGCCTTCGGCTCAGGTCATGGTCCCAAGGTCCTGGGATCGAGCCCCGCATCAGGCTCCCTGCTCCGCGGGAAGCCTGCTTCTCCCTCTCCCACTCCCCCTGCTTGTGTTCCCTCTCTCGCTGTGTCTCTCTCTGTCAAATAAATAAAATCTTTAAAAAAAAAATTCTAAAAAGGAAAAAACAATGAGAGGAGACTGTCTGTACCAGATATGGAAACATAATCTTCAAAACAGTATGACACTGAACCTTAACTAGACTAATGAAAAAAAAAAAAAATAGAAAGTCTTAGAAATAGACCCTCATGTGTGGAGACGTTTATTGTGTGATAAACGTGGCTTTTCAAATCAGTGGGTGGGCTCGTTGTTAGCCCTCTGCTCCATTCTTAACCTTCCCTGCCCTCATGTGTTACAAAGGTGCTGGCTGGAAGCCAATGCCTGACATTTCCGGGCTCATCATCTTCCTTTGGTTCAGTTCTGCGAATGGGTGACGCTGGTCGGGATTAAGAGGCAAGTGAAGGAAGGGACCATGTTTATGCTTCTAGTGCCTTTTCTGGTTGCGGTTAATCCCATCGACGGGGGGCCATTTGGGCTTCACCAGTATTAGAGAGAGTGGTAGTGGTTTCAGCAGCATCATTAGAGTTGAAGTTTCTGGGTTCCTGCTCAGGGTTTGCATTGAGATTACAAAAACGGAAACGACTGTGTGGCTAGCATTTCAACAGTGAGCATCAACTGGTGGTTTCCAGCCCAGAGCCCTGGAGGCTTCTCGGCCACAGAGAAATATCCCTTTTCGCCTTGCTTCTTTAGCCCGTCCAATGTCTTTGTCACTAATTCATTGCTTTAAGTTTTCCTCTGCTTGAAATCTCTAGAGTACTTTCAGATTTCCTGGCAGGACACTAAGTGATATAAAGAGAAAATAACACATATTCAATAAATGATACTGGTGAAAATAGGTAGTCAGCCTCTGAAAAAAATAATAAGTAAGATTTGGTATCCTCCCTGACACCTTATATCAAAAGACATTTTAGATGAATCAAAAATTTGAATGTAAAAGGAGTAAGTCATAAACATACAGAAAAAAGCATGGTGGGTTTAAAAAATAACAATCTCAGAGGGGAGGTCTTTCTAAGACATTCCAGATGAGAAACATTTGAACAATTTAATTCCATAAACGATGTGGGCATGCCATAAAAAAAAATTCCCAGCACAAAGGAAATCAACAAACAGAAAAAATAATTACATAGACAAACACTAAACGCCAAAACCCCAGTGAAAATTCAACAAAGGTCAGGACAGAAAGTTTGCAGAAAGAATTTATGAATGATTCTTACACAACAAGTCAGAATTTAGTAATGAGACTGTCTGGTCCGGGGCTTCTCTTTGCTGGGAGGTTTTTAATTACTGATCAATCTCCTTACTCGTTATTAGTGTGTTGAGATTTTCTATTTCTTCATGATTCAGTTTGAATAGGTTGTGTGTATCCAGGAATATGTCCATTTCCTCCAGGTTGTCCAACGTGTTGGCGTGTAACTGTTCATAGTGGTCTCTGAGGATCCGTTTTATTTCTCTGGTATCAGTTGTAGTGTCTTTACTTTCATTTCTGATTTTATTAATTTGAGCCTTTTCCCTTTTTTTCTTAATTATTCTAGCTAAGATTTGTCAATTTTGTTTTGGAAGATGTTGGATGTGTCTATTACATGCGATGGTGACAGGATGGTGAGTATCTGCATCTGTCCAAATTCCTCAAACTGTACACATTAAATATGTGCAGCCCTTTGTATATCAATCAGACTTCAGTGAAGCTGTTAAAAATACTGTCTCACTCATAATAAGTAAATGCACATTAACACCACAGTAGATACCATTTCCACCTATCAGATTGGCAAAAAAAAAAAAGAAGATTGATAACTCACTCTGTTGGTTTTAAAATATAACCACAAATTCTTTGATACTCGTCCTCTTCAAGAGAGGGAACTTAATTTTCCTCCCTCCAATGAAAGCCCAGCGTCAGCTGGACTTAGTCACTCACTTGTAATGAGCAAAACATACTAGACACGATGGTTTGTGACAGAATTCTGAGACTAGGTCATGAAAGACATGGCAGTTTCCTACTTGCTCTCTTTCTTGGATCTCTTGCTCTGGGGAAAGCCAACTGGTATGTCATGAGGACACTCAAGGAGCCCTGGGGAGAAGTGGAGATGGCAGAACCTGAGTGTCCTGCCAACCAACAGCCAGCAAGGAACCGAGGCTTTCTGTCCATAGTCATTGAGTGAGACACTCTGGAATTGGATCGCCCAGCCCCATTTAGCCTTGGGATGACTGTAGCATTGGTCAACAATGTCGTGAGGAGCAGTGAGGCAGAACCACTAGGTTGTGCTCCTCTTAAATTTCTGTCTCACAGAAACTGTGAAACAATGTGTGTGGTTTTAAGCTATTAGGTGTTATGGTAATTTGTCACACAGCGGTTGATGACTAATGAACTTGCTCGCTCCACTTCATGGTGAGTATATGAGAATAGGCACCCTCATAAATTGCTGGTAGGAATATAAATTGTATCAATGCTATGGGAACATATAAGACAATATTAATTATAGTAAAAATGTAATTTCAGATCTAGAAATATATCCAGAGATGTACTTGCACAGGTGTGAAATGTTAAACATCATTATTTAATAAATAAATTTATATTTTAAAATTTTAATACATTTAATAAAAGTCCTATTTATTGCAGCATTGTTCGTGATGGCAAAGACTGGAATCTAAATGTATGTTGTTACTGGGACTATTTGAACACAATACATCCATGTGACAGAATTCTCTGCAGCTGTTAAAAGGAATAACGTAATTCTATAAGAAGGAACAACAGTGCAATTGGCATCCTACCATTCATGTAATATGAAAGAAGAGAATGTATGGATTTTCTTTGAAAAGGAAAGAGACTGATAACAGTGGAGATGGAGATCAGGAAGGGAGAGAACTTTTCACTATATGCTTTTTAAACTATCTTTTGAAAAGAAATATCTTACCATGTGCATGCATTTTCTATTCAAATTATTAAATAATTGGAAAACTAAAATAAGCGAACGGTCACCCGTTTAAGAGAGAGTTTCCAAATGCTTAGCTGATGTAGGACTGGAGAGCCTTTTACTAATATCATGATAGCTGGGAGAATATCTTCAAGCTTGGAATCTTAACTTCAGAAAATTATAACCTAAGCCATTGTGTTTTCTTCTGTTTAGAGAAAGAACAGATTTATAGGAGGTGGGTAGTCTGCTTAGAGGCTAGATAAAGAGAAATTGGAGAACAAGGATTTGTCATGTTTACCCAGACCATGGGAGAAAGGCAGTATTTAGTTGACATGCATACTTAAGTACTAGGGAGGAATATTTTATATGCGTCCAGAATATTCAGTTCCCTTGGTTTAGAATCTGTGCTCAATTGAGCAAACTTTTCATTAGGCTTCCCTGGGTTTTTACAAGGGATCACTTTCATATTAGACATAAGTATTGTCGTCGCTATAGCACTGTAGACCTTACTAGAAATTTTAAAACGGCATTTTAGGTTATATATCAATCTTTCAGGAGTTAGATTTATCTAAATCAGGCCTTAGAGCCCGAACGGCCATGACTGCTCTGAAATGGTCAAGTTTCCTGACACGCATAATTGAGAAGCAATGTCCACCTAGGTGCCATCTTCCTCTGAGGCCAATGGAATAGTCAGCCCATCTTTCTTTTAGACAGATGAGTCTCCTTTTTTTTTTTAAGATTTTATTTTATTTTTTATTTTTTATTTTTTTAAAAGATTATTTATTTGACAGAGAGAGACACAGCGAGAGAGGGAACACAAGCAGGGGGAGTGGGAGAGGG